CCCCTAGGTTGAGGAATGGGATACGATCCAAGCCACTAATGTGACCCTCTCAACATAACAACTAAGGAATGGTTAGATTTCACCCTCGAATTGGAGTTCGGCAGCCACCGACAACCAAACCCTACGTGCTAATGCGAAATAGGAGGTTTTCCCTTTAACTAACCTAGAATATGAGGCATAGAATTCCCAAGGAAACCCATCTCTAATAGAGCCCCTTAGGTTAATGAGGGTTCTCTCTAAACTATCTTAGAAGGCATTGAATGCCCAAGGAAACCCATCTCCAAATGAGCCTCTTAGGTTAAGAGGGTTCTCTCGAAACTAGTTTAGAAGGCATTGAATGCCCAAGGAAACCCAGCTCGAATCGAGCCTCTTTGGATAAAGGAGGTTTCATCTCTATACTAGCCTAGGAGGCATGAAATTCCCAAGAACACCCATCTTAAATTGAGCCTTTTAACCTAAGTAGGTTTCCTCTCTAAACTAGCCTAGGAGGCATAAAATGCCGAAGAACACCCATCTCAAATTTAGCCTCTTAACCTAAGGAGGTCTCCTCTCTAATCTAGGTTAGAATGGAAATTAGATTGATAGGCTTTCACACAAGATAATCATTTCTGAATAATACCTCCACATTCATATTAAAATACAACCACACACAAATCCTTCAATTCATACAAGTATTCATATAATTGTAGCTATGGTTTACAAACACCCAAGTGAAAGAAGGGCTACTCCATGCTAGGAGAAGGGAAAACACAAGAGAGGTAAAGGGAAACCATCAAGAAGATGCAATCCTTGCTCCTTGTGCTGAAGAAATCCTCCTTTGGGAAAGGAATTCCCAAAACCTTGCTTGGCGATTAAACCATATCTTTTCCTCTTATTTGGTTCGTCGCTTTCTCACTCTAAAATCTTAAGAAGGAAAAGTTTCTCACACTAGGTCTCCATCTCTTCTTCCTTTCAGCTGCTCTTTTAAGTTGATATTGGACCCACCTCTTTGCCCGGTCTTTGCTCCTTTTCTTCCAACTTTCTACTCCGGGTTTGGTTTTACCTGTTAGCATCTGCAACACAAGCAAGCTCGCGTAAAACCAACCTTTTTGGAGTTCAATTGCAACAAACGTCAAAGAGAATCGGGGATAAAAAGTGTACAATTAGGTCTGAATCACTTTACATGAATGATTCAATTGATTCATTCCAGATTTTGGGGCATTGGGTTTTTCCACGTGGTCGCCACACCATATTGAGGAGAATTCATGGCAACCCTTGTCTGATTTTTCCTAGAACAATATTGATGTGGCAAACTTCTTTCCCATTTGTGATGTTATTTCTCCTTCAACCAGCCATGTGGTGGAATCTCATGCCCCCTAGCGGTTTAGAGTGAATATCATTGTGTTGTTGCTTTGACAATGCGAGCTTGCTATGCTCAACGTACTTATGACAATGTTCTCCCCCCTGTTATTGTTTTCAATCTTACTAGAATTAAGTCGATACTGACTTCTTTGTAGTGGCTTCTTCAAGCCAATTCCAACCTGTGTGTCTTTAAGAACAACGTTGTTCACAGAAAAAAGACACGTTGGGCTTCTAGGCTTCTAGCAACAATGTTGTAGCCAGACTCATCGATGGCGTTTTATTGACAATGGCTAGTCGACAACCTTTGGATCATCCCAAGCAACATACATGGTTTAGATTTAAACACATCAAAATCATACGTGGATCTATATACTGACATACTAAAATCAGAAACATAGTCATCCAACTTATGAAACCATCGATCTACGTTTTTTTCAAGATTATCCATTTTTTTTTTGTAAGAGAAGTTAAAATGAGGTTTGCATGTTGGCTATCTCTTCTAAGTTCAACCACTACTTGGCAGAGCATGCACAACATCTCACCCTGATCGGTGATTTGCACCACTGATTGCACCTCCACTCCATCATTGTTGCTTGAATCGCCTACAATGTCGTCAATCTCGATGTTGACCATCTGATTCTCCTCCACGGATCCTTGTGGAAGACAATCTACTTTTCCTCGTCGCAGAGCCATATCAAACACACGTGTCCCACTGGGCGTGCCAAATTGTTTCGACGTGAAACCAAATAACACCGTCGGCGCTGAACTTGTTTACGGTCAGTGGAAACTCTTGACGTGTCATTTGATCGAATGCACCACTGATTGCTGAAATCAAAACGATCGTCAAATATCCATCAGCGGTATTGATTTGATCGGTGCAGCTCTGACTTCTGAAAACAAAGAGGATCGTCAAATATCTACCGGACGGTGTTAGTTTGATTGATGCACCTCTGACTTCTAACCAAGAACGACCATTACTCTGGTCCACCCCTCTCCAAACAATGTTTGAACGAGGGTGTTTGAGTTTTTGGGGGAATCTACGTTAAGATTTTTTGGGGAATCTACGTTACGACTACTCCTATGGAGATTCATGTGGAGAGCTCTGCGACTATGACTACTGGTATGACTATGGAGATCCTTCCTGGAAGGAGAGCTCCGCAAGAGAGTTATAGAGACAAGATAAATTTGGAACAAGTTGTTTCTGTGTTGATTTGATTCCTCTGTCTTAATCCCAGCTCCGGTGATTTTATCTAAAATTACTTCCGTAGTTTTCACGCTCCATGGAACTGCTTCCTCAACTGCTCCATCATAAAATCCTACGTGCTTCTTGTAGTCTTCAACTGTGCTGGTAACCTCCACCTTGGCGCATAATTCCCACGAGTGTTAAACTTCTCTGTAGAGACTTAGCCAAAACGACGCGGAGCCAACCTTGTAGCTATTCACCACAGTTCGATACTCCAACCTTGTTCCTAAAGCCACACGATGACACCCTTGTTCATAAACAACGGCGTAGCAAAACCACACCACAACGCTGAGCTTCTAGCCTTGAGACGCCACTGAACTCACAATATCAAAGCCACTTTCTACTCCCAACGGTGGCTCACAACTTACGACGATGTTATCTACTAAACAACGTCATTCTACAACCCTGTCGAATTCACAACTATGCACCCAGTCATCAATTTCACCAAACTCGCGATGTTGTTTTGCACAAAATGCTTTCCTACTCCACGACATTGTTTTTACTCTTGTGACATTGTTTTTAACTCGCGAAGTTGTTAAACTTACTATTTTTAGCTACAAAACAATGTCGTTTTGTAATATTGCGCCAGCGACTGTAGAAGTCGCAACACCGCTGTGCTTCACGGCGTCGTTGAGCTCTCAGTCCCGCTCCGTCATTTCAAGTATTTTGTTGGATCTCAACTTTTTGCATTTTTTTTATTTGAACAATGCCGCATCTTACTATTGCGGCATTTTTGATTTATTGAGCTTCGCAGCGTTGTCGGTTCTTTGCGATACCGACCGTTGGGCTTGTCTCACAATATTGTTCTCCAAGAAACAATGTCGTGTTCTACTACCGTGACATTGTTTCCCTAAACACTGTTGTTTCTTGTTTTTTATCACGCGACACTGTTTTAACTAAAATATGCGGCCTCTTGGTATCATGGCCGACTTTGAATTCGCAATGTTGTTTTAAACTTGGACTTGGCCACCAAGCTCCTACCCACTGCGATATTGTTTTTAACTAAACGGTATTGCTTAGCAATATAGCGGCGCTGTTGACACTTCATGCGGTGTCGGTTTTAGCTAAACAACATCGCTTGATTCTATCCACGACATCATTTTAATATTAAACGACTCTGTTACCAGTACCGCGGAGTTGTTGGGATTACAATGATGTCATCGATCTCCTCCACGTCATTAAGTCTCTGAGGCATTGTTTGTCACTAAATGGTGTGGTTTCTCTCCTATTGCAACATTGTCGAGGTCGCAGTTAAGATACAACCTTGGCCGGATCATCTCCTTCTCCGGTAAGTAATACAAAGCACTCCTTCTTCAACTCCAACACCGACATTGAAAATCCTCACGACATTGTTTCTATTAAACAATGTCGTTTCAACTATCGCGGTATTGTTGGGCTCCCTTCAGCTTCGTAGTGTCGTTTTAACTCTTCGCGACATTGCTTGGTACTAAACGACGTCGTTTTATATCATGCGGCATCGAATTAAATGACGACTCCTCCATCAGCATTTAATTTAGTCTAAATTAAATTTAGGTGTCAAGAGAGAGTAGGGGAGAAAGAAAGAAGCAAGCATTGTGTTTGTTAATTGGGAGTTAGGACGGAATGCAGTATGTTAATTAGGTTGATGGAATTAATAATATTTTGTTAATTATTCTTGTTTTATAGGTTGATAGATGGAATCAGGCAATTCATCAAGTCAACATATCTTGTCAAAACTGGCTTAACCCGGTTGAACCCCGATCCGACCATTAAACTTCAAATTTCTTGTCAAATCGGTCGGATGACTTAATTTGGTTTGACAACCTTGCATGACGTGATGTGTGTTCTTTTATCTTCATATAGTTTTCATGCTTTGGTATAAATATTTATGCCGAAAGCCAAATTAACTCTTATGCTAAATGGGATGAATCTAAAGAATTTAAAGTAAATTCAAGACAATCATACTCGATATATAGACTTTGATCTTGCGCTTTTATGTGGAATAATCTCTACTCTATTCCGGAAAATCTCAATGAGATTTAAACAGATAGCCATTACTCCAATTAAGTGTGTTTGATGATATAAGCTCTTTCATTCGATGAATAATTTGGGGACTCTTTTAGTGACACATTTGTGATGTTCATTGAAGTAATAATATTTGATTATCGGCTTAATTGCAAGTTTGGTCACTCGAATTGCTATAAAATTTCACGTTTGCCACTCAGATTAATTTATTCCATTTATAGTCACTCGAATTAGTTGAACAGTTCAAGTTCGGTCACTCTCCGTTAACCTCCGTTAACTTTGACTGACGTGGCGGTCAACTCTGACAGTTGACCGTTAAATTTGTGATGTGGCAAATAAAAAATAATTAAAAAATAAAAATTAAATTTTTAGAAATTACACATCATTATAAAAAAAATTATAATTATAAAAAATGAAAAAAAGAAATTATAATTACCTTAATTATAAAGTTACGATCCTATCGCCGGACTCCAAGACTCCCCTCTCCGCCAAGGACAAAACCCGCGTCGCGCTCTCCCTCCTCAAATCAGAGCAAAACCCTAAGAAAATCCTCGAGATCTGCCGCGCGGCGTCTCTGACCCCCGACCTCCACCTCGACCGCATCGCCTTCTCTGTCGCCGTCACCAAGCTCTCCGAATCCAACCAGTTCTCCTACGTCAAGCAGCTCCTCGACGAGCACCGCCGCGACCGCCCCGACCTCCGCACCGAGAAATTCGCCGCTCAGGCTATCGTCCTCTTCGGCCAGGCCAACATGGTCGACGACGCGATCGCCACCTTCAAGAAGCACCACGAAGACGCCGACTCCGAATCCGGTTCGGTGAAGACGCTGAACGCGTTGCTCTTCGCCTGCGCCATCGCGAAGAACTACGCCGAGGTAAGGCGGATCTTCGTCGATTTCCCTGCAATCTTCTCAATCAGTCCGAATCTAGACACTTATAACACCGGGATCAAGTCGTTTACCGTGTCCGATAGTTCGAGCTCGGTTTACTCGCTCCTGGGAGAGATGAAGAAGAACAGAATCAAGCCTAACGCCACTACTTTCTCCCACCTGCTGGCGGGGTTCTACAAGGAAGAGAAGTTTGAAGAAGTAGGGAAAGTTTTGGACATGATGAAGACAGAGTACTCGATCTCCCCGGAACTGCTACCTACAATGTCAGGATTCAGAGCTTGTTATATATAATTAAATCTGCTCAGGTAATTATAATTTTTTTTTCATTTTTTATAATTATAATTTTTTTTATAATGATGTGTAATTTCTAAAAATTTAATTTTTATTTTTTAACTATTTTTTATTTGCCACGTCACAAATTTAACGGTCAACTGTCAGAGTTGACCGCCACGTCAGTCAAAGTTAACGGAGGTTAACGGAGAGTGACCGAACTTGAACTGTTCAACTAATTCGAGTGACTATAAATGGAATAAATTAATTTGAGTGGCAAACGTGAAATTTTATAGCAGTTCGAGTGACCAAATTTGCAATTAAGCCTTTGATTATCTAACAAGATGATTTTCGGTGAATTTCTTCTTTGATGATCTATGTCAACACCCCACCCCCCCCCCCTCGAACCAAACAAAACACCATTCCCTTTTCCTACTTCCTTCGAGTGCATCGCTGCCATCGATGAAAATAGCATTTCGCCCTTTACTTCTCTTTCCACCGATTCGAACTCCAAATCTGGGAATCACCCATCTAATTGTTAGCCTTCCCCTCTGAGAAATTTTACTTCCGTTCCTTGTTCTGCTGTTGATAATATCCTACTCTGTCTCATCTGTTAATGCCGTAGTGTTCTACGGAGCGAGTTTCTGTTTCTTCTCTTGTTTCCTCCATTGAGTATGTTTGTTGAAATCTGGAAACGATGACCCAGACCCAGTTGCTTTCCTCATCTTTCGGCTGTTCTGGGCCAGGTACGGTTATTTCTTTCTCCGGGAAAGTGTTGTGCCTCATATATTTTTCGCCTTCCTCTGCCTATTTGGAAAGTTTTTATTGGGAGTTGCGATATGGGTGATCTGTTGTGGCAATCCCTTCCCTGGGTTACCTTATTGATGTTATGTTATGGTTCACAGTCGAGTGGGGTTCCTGATGTTCGATTGATGCCCGAGTTTGGCCAAATCTTTCGCTCTTCCCTTTACCCAACATATTATTTACTGATTTGACCGCCGGAAATCACCTTTTTTAGGGTTTGGGATGCTTTAAAAGCTACGAAATGGGATTGTTGTGTGAGCAGTGATGACACTAAATTGTTCTTGGATCAATTCTCTTTCGTTGTTTCATTTCTACCTCCAATTCTCGATCCGAAATGCGAGCCCCCTTGTGCCGTGGTGGCAATTTGGTGCGAATTATGTTGTTGATTTCAAATTGCCTCATGGTTTCAGATGAAGGTTTCTTATGTGCTTTCTATTCCGGTTGACGGATTAATTTTATCTGCGTAATCCTCTCTCATGTTTGATTAATCGTTCATTAGATCCTTGTTGCGATGTGTTAGTGCGATTGCTTTGGTCAGTCAATTTTGTTATTCTTGATCTCTGCAATTGCTGCAAATCTCAAATTTTTCTCTTTCTGTCAGAAAAAAATAGGTTCTGTTTGCTTTCCCTGGTATCTAATCAGTGAGCTGGTCTTAGGCTTTCGAATACAGAACGCTTAGATTCTGGGACACAAACTTGCGTTCCAGGGAAAAGTATTGACGAGTTCTTTTCTGAACTAGGTATAAGCAGTATGCTATTTAGGCGATATGCGTACCAATCCAGTCAGAACTTAACTTTGAGCAATTTCAAGGCATTTTCTACTGGCTAGGTTATTAGTTTTGGGGCTGTACTGAATACACTTTTGGGCTTGGTTTTTCTGCGGGATTCTGTTTGGTTGTTCTAAAATGCATCTATATGTGAAGGTTTTTTTTTTTACGTTCGTTCAATTCTGTATAATCTGACAAGGTGATTCTTCCTTTTGCATCCTTAAAACTTAGGTTTATTTGGTAATCTGCTACTGATCTGTCGTTATTCGTCTGGTAAACTTTTCATTCTACTCTTTTGTGTTCACGAACTGATTAGTGAATCTGTGGTGCTTTCTTATCTGTTTGTTTGCCAGATCAGCTATTATAGGGATATCCAATAAACATGAAGGGAGAAGCATCATGGATCAATGATTGCACTGATGTTGTGGTTAGAGATGATAGTGATCTCAATTCATTCTCGGATCTCAATGATGATGATGGAAACAAAGACGTTAATGCAGTTTCGGTGGATCTAATCTTGCCTGATGATCTATTAGAAAGAATCTTGGCATATCTCCCCACTGCAAGCATCTTCAGAGCAGGTTCTGTGTCGAAAAGATGGCATGAGATAGTGAGTTCTAGGAGGTTCTTGTGGAACTTGTCTCATGTAACATCACAAAAGCCTTGGTACTTTATGTTCACGAGCTCTGATGAACCTGTTGGTTATGCCTTTGATCCAGTTCTTAGGAAATGGCATGGTATTGATCTACCTTGCATCAGAACATCCAATTGGTTCATCGCCTCCTCGTGCGGGTTGGTTTTTTTCATGGACAATGACTGTAGCAGTGAGTTGTATGCTTGCAACCCAATCACTAAACGCTTCAGGAAGCTTGAAGACCCTCCTGGGTCAAGGCTATCTGACTATAGTGCACTTGCAGTCTCGGTGAATGGAGAGTCACACAACTATACTGTCTCGATTGTCAAGTCTAACCAGGTTCCCAGAGATTTTCTCCAATGGCATCTATCAATATATACTTATAATTCTGATATCCAGATGTGGATGACTTCTTGGACCGAAGTTTTGACCGGGTGGAGAGGTGGTGATGAGAGTGTTATCTGCAATGGCAATTTATATGTATTGATTTATTCAACTGGTGGTGGCTATCCAGAAAACCGCCATGGTATTCTTGCTTACAGGCTTTCTGGTCGGTACTCACGTGATGATAAGTTGATAAAAGGTTTCATTCCAGCTCCCTGTTCTCTTACATGTGGACGACTGATGAACTTGAAGGATAAATTGGTCATTGTTGGAGGCATTGGGAAGCATGACAGGCCTGGTATAATTAAGGGGATTGGGATCTGGGTTCTTAATGGAAGAGACTGGCAAGAGATCGCTCGCATGCCCCACAAGTTTTTCCAAGGGTTTGGAGAGTTCGATGATGTCTTTGCTAGCAGTGGCACTGACGATCTTGTATACATCCAGAGTTATGGGGGGCCGTCACTGCTTGTTTTTGACATGAACCAGAAACTGTGGAAGTGGTCACATAAGTGTCCAGTAACAAAGAGGTTCCCACTTCAACTCTTCACTGGTTTCTGTTTCGAACCTCGGCTCGAGATTGCACCTTGATATGATTGCACATCTAAATTCTCTGTCAGTGTGATGTGATGATGCAATCATATTACTTCTGGATATATCAGCTTGCTTTATCTTCCTACCTTTGTCCAGTTTGTTTTGCCTGTTTTCCCTCGCATTTGAGAACAATTTCAGGAAGGAAACTGTTTTATGCAGAATGTGTCAGCAATAAAAGCTGCTTGCTTATTCATGAAGAAAATGGGGAATACTAGAAATCTTTTGCATGGCAGAGAAACTACATTGCCCCTTTTAACTTGATTTTCTGTTGATCTTGCTGATTTCTTTTTCATGATTTACTCGTAGAGTTTCTAGTTTCTGAGTGCTGAATTCCTTGTCCACTTTCACTGTGCAAATTCATAGTACGATGAAGGATATTAAAGGGCACAGGCTACTATGTTTGACAACAAGGGGTGCAAGTTGAGCGGTAAATTGCTAGGGGATGCAACTTGGTGGCGGTATTAGTGGAGAGGTAAATTGTTGTGTGGATGAAAAAGTAGAAGTGCAAATAAAGTGAAAAATAAATAATTATATTATTATAATATAGAGTTATCAAAATTATAAAATTATATCACAAAATAATAAAAATTAAAATCAATCTAGAATATATATATATATATATATATGTATTAATAAAATAATTATTATAATAATGCTTATATTATATTTAATTATAACAACAATAATAATCATTGGTCCACTGACTTTAGGGATGGCAACAAAACCCGAACCTACGGGTACCCACCCGACCTAATCCAGTCAACGCGGGTAAAACCCGTGTTGACGGGTTTTGGGCCGGTTTGGGTTTAAACCCGCTACACTATTCACTGGGTCGGGTTGGGTTTGGGTTTAGGTAAACCCGCCCCATGGTTACTCGCCCACACACATATAATTACTTTCCCTATATCTTCATTAAATAACTAATATTCTATATGTTTGTGGAGACATGTATAATTTGTTCTTTCTAATTGTTTAGAATGAAGTTGATATTATGAAGTGGAGAGTGAAGAAACTTAGTTGACGAGGAAGAAGCTTTCAATTAATCTTATTGTTTATATATGTTTATCTTTAATTTTGAACTATTTGTATTGATCATTTGCGGTTTTGCTTGTATGCTCTAGATTGGTGTTTTTTGTATGATTAATTTGTATGAGAAAATTGATGTTAAACTTTTATTTTGAAAGAAACTTGTTATTGTAAATTTTTACCACAAAAACTCACAGGTACCCATGAACCCACGGATACCCAGCGGGTTGGGTTGGGTTTCGGTTTTTCAAACCCAACGGGTTTTACCCCGGGTTTTTTTGGCGAATAAACCCATGAGTTTGGGTTTGGGTTTGACAAAACCCGCTCCAACCCGACCCATTGCCATCCCTAACTGACTTCGAAACTCGAAGCCCAATTTGTAACTAGTTTGGTTGCAGAGACAAACAGTTAACCCCTAACATCGTCTACATTAATTATAACTCCAAGTAAAATTTTATAATATTAATTATTATAAAATAATAAATCCATATTTCCCCTCTCCCACTTCCTTCCTTTACATCCCAATTTGAGAATAAGCCAAAATAGTAGATTTGCACTCCTACTATTACAAATTAATCAAACATGTGTAAATACTTTGAAAACTGTATTTACCCGTTCCGTTTTGCACCCATCCTATTTGCAACTCTTCCCTTTTTGCATGTTGCTGCATTTTGCTTTGACTAGAATGTGTAGACGTTCTTTAGCGGGTGGAGCAGTCTTTTTTTTTTTTTTTTGGGTTGTTATTGCTCGAGGGGGACCAGACGGCCGGGTAGGTTGAAAGCATATGAAAAGGTGGTTGTTGGTTCTAGTATCTGTGTCATGTGACAATGAGATAAATGCGAGATCGGCTGTTGTGTCATTGGTTCTGGTTGGCTTCCTTCCCATGATTTGGTTCTAAAGTGGTCCCTTGTTATATCTGTCTAAAGATGACCAGGCCAAGCCCCCCCTGCACCTTAAAGATATGCGCTCTCCAAATACTTCTGTTTTTCTTTTAAATTTTTGCCCATCGAATCCTCTTCAAATGGGATTCCCTTGGGAAAGGAAGGAGATTAGGGGTGATATGTAGTCAGTTTAGTACTAAGTGAACCATTTACGTAGGCGGCTAGTGCATAAATCGAGCCATTAACCCTTGTTGGTAGCAATTATCAGCAGTAAAACTTGGCTTGTTGATTTAACTGGAGCTGGTCGGGCAATAGTCGTTTGTTCAACGGTTGATTGATTACCGGTTTTGAATCCTTGAAATTGCATCAATTTCGTTCTTCATTAAGGAAGAATAATTGAACATCCAACATTTTTCAGCCAACTAGTGAGAGCTCCCAACCCGTTCGAAAGAAAGCGATAAATTGACAGCACGAACTTCGCAAATCCCATTCATTGGTGACCAACCTTTCCTCGCAAAAGGTTAGCGTTTGTGACAACTTTGCTAGTCACTAATAAAGCAATGGTGATGTATCACTGAGTTATCACGAATGTATTTCTATTTTGACAATAAAATTATCTTTTCAGCCATCTTTTGTGACAAGAGTTGATGACACGAGTATACCCCAAAAATGACGATAATGTATGTCCTACATGAGTGCATTTTGTGACAAGATTTTCGGACACATATTGCTACAACACTCTATACAGTGAGAAGATGTGTCGTCACTTCTTTTAATTGCGAGAACATGTTTCGTTACAAATTTAATGGTTTGACGACTAACGAGCTTCTTTAGTGACAAGAAATTAAAATACGAATATAGTAATTGGTGTCAAGTTATACGATTATGTGATGATGTACGTTGACAAAAAAAATCATATTTTGTGACATGGTCACCAAAATAAAAAAAAATGTCACAAAATAAAAAAAAAATCAAATTCACTAGATAATAGGGGGAAAAGTCTTCAATTCAAATTTGGCTACTAATAATTCTAAATAGTATTTGAAATCAGTCAAAACCACAAATCTAACACTAATGAGAGGTTGTTGATCTTTATAAATCATCCTATTTTTTTCGGACGCAACAGTTGCATCATGTCTTCATCATGTTGCGCTTGCAGGTCAGCAAACCTTTGTTCCCATTTCTTGTTCTGCTCTACTAGCCGATCCACAAACTGTTGGTTTAACTCTGAATAGATCTAATTTCTTATCCCAGCTCTAACTTCTTCCCCAACCACAGCAGTTTTCTCCCGCCTAACATGTCAAGACGAGGACATTGTTGCTGGCGTCGAGCGCGAGATGCCTGCTTCACGAGGTGGATTTTTATCTCCGCCTCTTCCTGTAACCCTAACTCGACTTTTGTCAAAGATCAGTGCAGAACGAAGCAGAACTTGAAAGAATGCTGAAAATGAAAATAAACAAGGAGTAAAATGATTCTCAGGCTTCTGATCTTTCTATCAATGAGGATGGGCTTGAGTTGAAGGGCCCAGATGGATCTCGGTCTTGGCCCAGTAGTCAAACGCGAAAGACTAGTGTTTCCTTCTCATGATGCTCTGCGTTTTAACCTTCCAGCCTCAACTTCTTCATTCAATTGCAGAAACTAACTTCCCCTGTCTTCAGGCTAACACACTTAACCTTGAAAAAACAGAGTAACTGATCAAAACTAATTAAGCACAAAAACAGAGGAAGAACACAATCTCTTTTTACGTGGTTTCCAGAGCTGGGTAAAGATGAACCCCAACTCTGACTATTCCACGGTCGAAAGATCACGATGAGGTGATTTCCGACGTTCCACTAAGCTTGAAGCTCTTTATTGTTTTACAATTCTACACCAACGAAATCAATCGCCTCAGTCCTGTAAACCGATTGATTCGTCAATACCCTGATCTCTCTCAGCTATCCAGCTACCGTGTCTAGTCCAACACTCACTAATTCAAATCCTCTCCAGAATATGAATCAGTCTCTCTTTTCCTATCAAACCTACTAGCTACTCTCTTAGCTCTTCTTATAAGTATGATCACCCGGAAAAGTGATTGTGCTTGATCAAGAGAATGCCTCTTATACTCTTCAGACACTAGCCATTGCTGCACAGGAATGGTAAGTCCTTTTTCTTTGAAATCTTTCCTATAATGCTAGTCTAATGAATTTTCCCGCTCCAACAGATCTTCCTTCCTTGCCCACTGATTCCTTTTTAATGCTGAGTCATTCGGACAACGATTTCTTTCCTTTGTTCTGTGATCATTCTGATTCATGACTGACTTGCCTCCAACATTCTCCCCCTAAGTCAGTCAATGATCCCATCAGCTGCCTATGTCGATTCTGCATACATTTAACACACGGTTATGTGCAGACTGTTCTAAACACATTGGCAGAGACAAATCACAATGTATGAGAATTTGAACAAGAAAACTGTTATTTAGACATCGGATTCGAAACTCATAATATTAGACACATTGTCTTCAATAGAAACATAGACACGAGCTTAGACAGAGCTTTATTGACCTTCAAACACACACAGATGCTAAAACGAACTTATTACTATTAGACTCCCCCAAGATCAGTACTCCCCTAACAAGCAAGTATAGGTGCTCCCCCTGATATCAGTACTCCCCTAGAAATCAAATTTGGGTGATGGCACATAATCAGAAATAGCATCATCATCCTCCATCATCTGATTCCTGCCGCTGCTTGCCTCCTCCTGTCTAAACATGGCTTGAACAGCCTCCAAAGGATCCACCATAGGTCGCTTGCCATTATCTCTGATAGATATTTTTGGTTCTTCCACTGCTTCATCCCCATCCAGCTCAGCAAGACTGAGACCATCCTCAGGAAATGCATGGGCAGCTGTTTCTCCCCCTAGAGCATTGACCAGAGGGCATCGACGACCAACAAAAGCATCGACTTTGCGCAGAATGAACTGAGCACGAAGAGAACTCAGCATGTCCACGCGAGCGACTTTGAACCTTAAGTCAATTCCCAATGCCAACAAGATCTGAGTGATCTGTGGAGCAAAAGGAAGCTCTGCCTCAAAGTTATCAGCATGATAGTTCAACATATGGTCGAACATCAAGTGAGGATAACTTACAACCCGATTCTCCTTGGCACTAGCGAGAATCCATAAGTCAGAAGGATAAATGGTATTGAGTCCAAAGGAGCGAGGTAAGAACAGTCGAGTTATGTAAAAGTGCATAACTTTGAGATCATCAGGAAATCTCCCAGAATGAAATTCAGAGGGATAATAACGACCTGTATCACGAGTATACAGTCGCAAGGCATCTCCCTCAATGAACTCAACAGAATGAAAGTCGAGCTTATTCATGACTTCTGCTCCAGAGATAGGAATGCCCAGTAATAACGACAGCAGCTCCACATTGATAGTTATCAGATAATTATACACTATAGTAGTGAAACAGGGTGGAGAGATGTGAAGGCATGGCTTCATGTTTGCATAAAACATGCGCACAGCCTTAGGTCGGAACCCAAAGTTTCGATTGGGAAGAATGTTACCCCAGCCTATGGTATTGATCAAGCGAGGGATATCCATCCCATACTTGTTGAACTTTGAGGGATCGAGAGTGATGGAAGAATGTAGTGGATGGTTTTGGAACTGAAGGAGATAGCGAGCATAGCCAGCTGCGTCCTCAAAGCCTTTGCCATTGAAAATGGCAGCTTGGGACAACCTCAGAGAAGTCACATGTTGATTAGACGCAGCCATGACTCAGTTTGAATGAATGAAGAGATATTGGAGTGCTGACAGAAGAATTTACACCCTAAGGCTTTATAGAGGAATCGAGGATTACCTATAGGAAGAGAGGTTCTAAATAAGGTAACATGAGACTTGATCCGAAAGCTCAGAGATATCACAAATCAAGAAGATTTTGAGTAGGAAAGGTAACCCTGATTTGAGATACAAAAGGAAATCATGATTGAGCAGCCAGTTCCACTATGTCCTTAAAGTTGAATAACCCTAGCTCTCGTCGAATAGGAATGAAAGGTTCAGAGCCCAAAGGCTTTGTGAAGATATCAACCCATTGGAAATTCGAGGGAACAAATTCTAAGTGAATTACATTCTCTTGGACGAGCTCCCTAATGAAATGGAACCTAATCTCTATGTGCTTGGTTTTAGAGTGTTGGACTGGGTTCTTGGACATGTTTATTGCACTTGTATTATCACACAGTACATGTAGGGATCCAAATTCCAGGCCATAATCAAGCAATTGGTATTTCATCCATAGCAACTGGGTGCAAAGCATCCTGCTGCAATGTATTCTGCCTCTGCAGTTGACAGAGCAACAGAATTCTGTTTCTTGCTAAACCATGCCACAAGAGAAGTTCCCATAAAGTGACAGGTTCCAGATGTGCTTTTCCGATCAACTATGCATCCAGCATAGTCTGAATCAGAATATCCTACCAACTCTAAACTTGATTCACACGAATACCACAGTCCAAAGTCAATAGTGCCTGCCAAATATTTAAAAATTCTCTTAACAGCAGACAGATGACTGTCATTTGGTGCGCTTTGAAACCGGGCACACACGCGCACACACTAAATAAGATGTCAGGTCGACTAGCAGTCACATACAAAAGAGATCCAATCAGTCCCCTATACAATTTCTCATTGACAGAATTTCCAGATTCATCTTTGTCTATTTTAAGAGAGGAGGCCATGGGGGTAATAGCAGTTTTTAAATTCCCAAGATCAAATCGTTTGAGCATGTTTTGAATGTATTTGGATTGACAAATGAAAATCCCCTTAGAAGTCTGTTTTATCTGTAAACCCAGAAAGTAATTGAGTTCACCCATTAAGCTCATTTCAAAGTTAGTCTTCATAAGTTCTTCAAACTCTTGACACATTTCCTGACTTGTTCTTCCAAATATTATGTCATCGACATAAACTTGAACTAACAGCAACTGTCCTGATTTTTGTTTAGTGAAAAGAGTTTTATCAACTGGTCCTCTAAGAAAATCATTTTCTAACAGTGTGGAGCTCACTTTGTCATACCAAGCTCTGGGAGCTTGTTTTAACCCATACAAAGCTTTCTTTAATCTATACACATGATTAGGATACTTTTGATCTTCAAAACCATGAGGCTGTGCAACATACACTTCCTCTTTTAAATCCCCATTAAGAAAGGCACTCTTAACTTCCATTTGGTATAGTTTAATCCTAGTCGCACTAGCAAAAGCACACAACATCCTAACTGCTTCCAAGCGAGCTACAGGGGCAAATGTTTCATCAAAGTCTATACCCTCCTCTTGATTGTATCCTTGTGCTACCAATCTAGCCCTGTTTCTAGTTATTACCCCAATTCATCTGTTTTTATTTTTATAAATCCACTTTGTCCCTATAATCACTCTATCTTCAGGTTTAGGGACAAGTTCCCAAACATTTGCTCTCTCAAACTGATGCATTTCATCAAACATGGCAGCAGTCCAAAATTCATCAGACAAAGCCTCTTGTACAGACTTAGGTTCAATCATTGATACAAAAGCATTATGAGAAGGTAAGGTTTTGGATCTAGTGAGCATACCTTTGTCAATGGGACCAATTATTTGGGCAGGTGGATGTCGTTTTGTGATGTACGCAGGAGGTTGAGTCTCACCCGCAGTTATGCTTGCTCCTACTCCTTTGCTGGACATAGGTTAGTTACTATTCTCCTTGTTATTTTGCAGTTCATGATCCTCTGAGTTTGACTCTGTATTCCCAGTTAATTTCTCTTCTTGAACTTGGAGCTCCGAGTTCTTGTCTAAGACTAGGGGTGAAGGCCTTCCAAGTCCAAAATCATCATCATCAAGGTCATCTGTAATCTCAACAGTGGCTTCATCAAATACCACATTAATGGACTCCTCAACTTTGAGGGTCCTTTTATTAAAAATCCTATAGGCTTGCTAGAATTTGAATACCCCAAAAACATAGCTTCATCTGATTTAGCATCAAACTTCCCAAGATTGTCCTTGGTATTCAAAACAAAGCACTTACACTCAAATGTGCGAAAATATCCTAGATTTGGTCTTCTACCTTTGCAAATCTCATTGGAGTTTTGTTCAAACCAGACCTGATTAAAGCTCTATTGACTACATAGCATGCTGTATTGATTGCTTCAGCCCAAAAGTATTTTGGAATGCCGTAGTCATGAAGCATGGTGCGCGCAATGTAAATCAAGGTCCTGTTTTTCCTTTCTACTACTCCATTTTGTTGAGGAGTTCGAGGGGCAGAAAAGTTGTGAAAGATTCCTAGTTCATTACACAATGCTTCAAAGAGATCAGAAGAGAATTCCCCTCCATGGTCACTTCGAATACTGTATACTTTTGACATTGTTTCATTCTCAATTTGTTTAAGTAGAAAATTAAAGTTTTCAAGGGCTTCATCCTTTTTGGCCAAAAACAGAACCCATGTAAATCTTGAGAAGTCATCAACTATCACAAAGGCATATGATTTACCCCCATAACTTACTACATTTGTGGGTCCAAATAAGTCAAGGTGTAACAACTCCAAAGGTCTAGAAGTAGAGATGACTTATTTACTTTTGAAACTAGTTCTGGTTTGTTTTCCTTTGGCACATGCATCACAAAAGAATTTCTGTTTTTCATTCATCTTAGGCAGACCCTTAACCAATCCTAAACGAGCTAGTTTGGATAGAGTGCTGACATTCACGTGTCCTAGTCGTCTGTGCCAGTCTTCTTGAGGGTTTCTGTTCAAACTAACTAGGCAAGTTTCATTGAAGCTTTCTTTGTCATTAAGATCAATAGTATATATCTTACCATTTCTTTTACCAGTGAACAAGATTTTTTTTGACTTAATGTTTTCAACATAGCAGCAGTTTGGTTCAAAGATCACTCTGTTCTCCTTACCACACCTCTGACTAATTGACATCAGATTGTGTTTTAATCCTCTAACCATCATTACATTTTTTATTGAGGGGCAAGTCCCCACCTGACCTTTTCCAATTATTTCAGCATAATTATTGTCACCAAAAAATACTTTACCAAAACTTCCTAGCTCGAGACTTGAAAATAAAAACTTGTTACCTGTCATATGGTGTGAGCAACCACTGTCCATTATCCACTTAGAGGTCTCCATGCTCACTTGAAGACAACTCTGCATACATACATAAATCATGTTGTTTTTCTCACTCAGATTTGCTTGGGTGGTCTTGAATGATACTTATGCCAATCAGAACCTTTCAGAGAATAATCAGGCATATAGGTTTTACTTTTCATGCTTTCTGATCTCAGTCTCCTTTTACAGTCTCTTATGACATGACCAAACTTGTGACAATAGTAGCATTCAACTGGCTTATGTTGTTCATTCCTGTTACCCTTCTTTTGCTTATCTAGATACCCTTGAATTTGATTTTCAAGTCTTTTGCATTCCAGCTGATAGTTATCATTTTCCTTAATCATAATTGACAAGCTAGCCTCAAAACTCTTTTCTCTTAGTTCACTAGCAGCTAGAAAATTCTCAAGTTCTGTTATTCTCAAGATATTGTTCTCATTTTCTTTCTTTAAGTGTGAATACTTTGTCTTAACCTTTTGAAATTCTAGTTGAATTTCCCTAATGGTGTCAACCAGCATGTCATCATCACTTTCATACTCAATCTGTGATTCAGAAATACTTACCTGAGAGGTGCAGCACCTTGTTGTCTCTTCTTCTTCTGTCTCATCCTCTGCAATTGCCATGAATGATCTATGCACTGTTACTTCCTCTTCCTCATCTCCTTCATCTTCACTACCACTCCAAGTTGCAGCATATGCTTTTTCTTTCTGCATTTGAGGACAGTCAGCTTTAATATGTCCTGATCTCCCACATTTGAAGCATCCTGTTGAATTTACTCCTTTGAAGTTTTGTATACCTTCACTTCGTCCTCGGATTGTGGTTCTAAATTGTCCAGATTTTGAACCTCCTTCATTTCTCTCAAACTCTCTAAGTTTGGATCCTCCAGACTTCTTCTCTTTTCGAATCCTGAGAAGTCTACTGATATGTTTACTCAGAAGAGCGAGCTCTTCATCTTCCATGTCATCAAGGTCTTCGGATTCATCCATCTGACTTGTAGCTTTGAAAGCAATCCCTCGTTTTCCCTTGTCGATAATATCCTTTTCATGCCCAGACTTGTTTAGCTTATCTTCGAGAGTGGCTAGGGAACCTATGAGTTCATCTACCGCAAGTTTCTCCAAATCCTTGGCTTCCTCAATAGCTGTTACTTTTGGTGTCCATTTTTCTGGCAGGCTTCACAGTATCTTTCTAATCAAATCACCACTCTCATAAGTCTTTCCCAAATTTTCCAAGCTGTTCACTATATTCGTGAACCTTTCATACATTTGTCGAATGGACTCTCCTTCCTCCATCCTAAACAATTCGAATTGATGCTTCAACGAATTTATCCGAGAAGTTTTAACTTGTGATGTACCTTCATAAGTTACTTGAAGTTTGTCCCATATCTCCTTGGCTGTCTTGCATCCAGCAACCTTGTGATACTCTTCTGGTCCTAGGGCACAGTACATTAGATTCATGGCCTTGCAGTTTTGCTGAAACTTCTCGTAATCTTCTTCAGTCCATTTCTCTTGATCAGCTTTGAGTTCATGTGGCCCTTTGATTACCCTTGCCCATAGCTTTGGATCAGTTGATCCAACAAACAGTTCCATCCGGTTCTTCCAGTACCCATAATTTACTCCTTCAAAGCGTGGCGGTCGGTTCTGTGAAAAGCCATCAGCAAGATAGAGTGGAGCAGTACTAGTAGATCCTAACGCC